TGTAATTTCAGAAGAATAGAATTTTAAGAAGAAATTCTCTGAAATTGTTCTGGGTTTCTGGAGTTCCCTCATTTATCTGATTTGTTTTAAAGGCCTTCATGACCCTGTTTCTAATGGTAAAAGTGCACTGGTAGTCTACGGCAACAAGTGGCAAGGGATTTTCTCAAATTATCACTTTTAGTTACTCGCACTCAAGCACCTGTAAGAATGCCAGCGTCTAGGTGACCAAGTAGGTGATTTCCGTAAACAAGTATCCTGGAACGTAAAATAAAATAAAAATTTTAAAAAGTACAAAAATAGCCTACTATATTGGTGCAGGCCTATAGTCCCAGCTACTCTAGGGGCTACGGTGGGAAGGTCGCTTGGGATCAGGAGGCGGAGGTCGCAGTGAGCCGGGATCATGCCACTGCACTCCAGCCTGGGCAACAGAAAGACACTTTTTCTCAAAATTTAAATAAATGGATAAGTAAATAAATTACAAAAAATAACGTAGTAGTGAAAATGAGAAGTATAATGGAGATGACCGGTTGCCTCTAAATGTGCTGGAGAACATAGGAAAAGAAAATTATGACATCAAGTCCTTAAAGCCTTATCCATATCCAGATGCACATAAAGAACTAGAAAGTGTCCATGAAAGAACCCATTATCTCCTATAGCCGCAGAACGGATATTTGGGAAAACCAAGTCCAAAGCTGAATCTTGTGGCTGGCTGAATTACGACACGAATGCAATTCCTAATCTCTCAAGGTCTCTTCTGTTCATGTTAGAGCACTTGTTGGGAATGAATGGGATCCTGAATATTTTAATGTTCCATATATGCAGACTTTGATGAAGCTGGGTACCTTGAACCCCTAAATTCTGTGAGATATGTCTTTCAGACACCTAAAAAAAGGTGTAAAAAAGTAAAAAGACACCTTCACTCCCGCCTGAGGAGTTTATTTCTCCGCTGCCTGAAGAACCTGCAATAGTCTCGTCTGAGGTAGTGGCCTTGCAGGATACTGCTGACCCTCCTGAGAAACTGCACCTACCACCTTTACTTCTTTTAAAACCCTGTAAAACTCAAGTTTCCACCAGCCCCAAACTAGAGGGTACATAGTGCAACCCATTAGTAAGGGTAGAATTTACTATAACAACTACAGATTTTTTTTTCCAATGTTAATAGGTAGAAACCTAGGGACTTTGTGTGGAAATGCTTCTTGAGGGTGGGGTATGAAGGTAGAAAAAAATAAATTTGATACACACCAAATTTATTGATATAGAGTCATTAAGCCAAGGTTCTGGATTCAGTGTTTCTCTTTGAGAGGATAAGGATGGCTCTAGCAGTTTGCTTGGTTGGTTGACTTAAATAAGGAAGCAAATGTTGACTATCCTTAATTAAGGAGAAATTCAAGGTCTTCCTTGGTATATTACAAAGGCTTAAGGACACTGGAATGTTAGAGTGAATTTATCATGGAAGAACTGCTCAGCCACGCTGGTAGGTCCAGAGGACGTGACTTTCACCAAGGCTGCAAGAAATTACTTTGTATGGGGAGCCCAGAAATCTGTGAGGAGTTTGCCGTAGCTCTCTTCTTTACTCAGACATTACTGCAGCCTTGCCCTTCAGGAAAGATGATGCTGCACTGCCTAATAACTATGCTGTTAATCATTGTCCCGACCTTCCTCAACAGATCTGTGCCCACTTCTTACTGCGGCAGTGCTTGGTGGAAAAGTAATCAGAATTCTCAGGGATTACTTGATAAAGACTCTGAACTGGTACTAATTACAGGATACCCAAAATGTCACTATGCTCTTCCAATAAGAGCTGTTTCTGTTAATCATGTGGTTTTACATCAGGTTCAATGTACACTGGACTAAGTTGGTCCATGAATCCACCCTCTGATTGTTTCCCAGTTTCAGAATGCATAGTTGGGAACATACACAGTGACTGGCAGAATCCCCACATTGCTTTCCTGACCTGTAGAGTGAGGGATGCTATGGATGGAGAGGCCAAGTTGAAGCCACTAGAACTGCCCTAATTATAAAAATCATAATCCACAAGCAACACTACTTTCCTGGAGGGACTGCAGTAACTGGTGGTAACAGCAAGCATTTGAAGGACACAGGCTGGTGATTCTTCAGCCATCCCTTTCAACTGAATTATTTCTCCTGTGCAGAAATACATGGATTTGTGGCCAGGCACAGTGGTTCATGCCTATAATCCCAGCACTTTGGGAAGCCGAGGCAGGTGGATCACTTGAGGTCAGGAGTTCAAGACCAGCCTGACCAACATGGTGAATCCCTGTCCCTACTAAAAAATACAATTAGCCAGGTGTGATGGTGCACAACTACAGTCCCAGCTGCTCAGGAAGTTGAGGCAGGAGAATTGCTTGAACCCAGGAGGTGGAGGTTGCAGTGAGCTGAGATCACTTAATTAAATTGTTGTTACAACTCCAGCTGCTGTGCTCCAGGTGATTTTGTTACTTTAGTAATCGTGACAACCCTGGGAACCTGATATATCATATCAATTAGGTGATTTTTTTTTCTCTTTCAATAATTATCACAAACAACAGTTTGGGTTCGGCTGGAAAGGTCAGCAATGTACTTTCACCTCCTATTTCAAGCTTATATGAACTCTCTAGGCTTACATCCTAAGCGAGTCCTTAAGGGACCTTGACCACCGATTCCTTATACCAGATGTGACACAATTCTTTGCCCTGATGACATTATGCTGACGGAGCAGGAGGTAGCAACTAATCCAGACATATTAGCAACACACTTGCAAGACATTATGTGAGAAATAATTCTCACACAAAATCAGGGGCCTTCTAACTGAGTGAAACGTTTAACAGTCTAGTAGTCTGGCATGTCAAGATGGTGCTTATAAGGTGAACAGCAAGTTCCTATATCTTGCCTTTCTTACAACTAAATAAGGAACACAAAAACAAATTGTGTAACAGATGCTTGTTTTCACGTATACCTCAATGTTGTACAGTATCGTGACCCACTGACAAGTGACTGAAACCCTGCTAGCATGGATCGGGGCCCAGAAAAAGAGAAGCTTCCCTAATCCTGCACCTGTGGTCTCATGTGGAGTTCCCTATGACCAGTTGACTAGAAAATAAAAAACATCATGCCTGATTTTCATTTGTTACTTCAGAATACGCAGGCACCACATGTATTAAGTTTGTAACTAATGCAAAAGAAATGATCCCCAATTCAGCAGCTTAAAATGACACAAACATATAAGCAGTTCTGCAGATCAGAAATCCATGCAGCCTGGATTGGTTTCTCTGCTTAGGATCTCACAAAATCAAAGTTAAGGTATCAACTAGGCTGCTGACTAATTGAGGACTCAGAGAGATACTGTTTTCAAGCTGATTTGGGTTATGGGCAGGTCTAACTTCTTAAAGTTGTAGAATTGAGGTAGCCGTATACTTGCGGTCTTGGCTGAGGCCACTCTAAGCTACTTGAGCCACCTCCATACCTCCTTAGGTGCACCCTTCTATCTTCTAAGCAGTAATGGTGCATCATCATTATGGTGGCTGACATAAAGATTATTCATGGGTTTGGCAACATGAACTTTCACTTACCAGGTCCATCTCACTACAGCCACTGCTCACTATTCAATCTGCCAGCAGCAGAGACCAACACTGAGTCCCCAGTATGGCACCATGTCCCAGAGTGGTCACTCAGCTTCCAGGTAGCACTGTGATTACTTGAGTCTGCTTCCACAATTGAAGGGGCATCACTTTGTTCTTGCTCAAATAGACACTTATTCTGCATATGGATTTTCATTCCCACCCACGGTACTTCAAGAAAATCAATACTGTGGTATTAGGAAAGGCTGTATCCACCATCATGGTATACCACACTGCACCAGTTTTCAACATGAAACTCACATGACAGGAAATGAAGTATGGGAATGGGTTCATGCTAATGGATTTCACTAGCCTTGTGATGTTCCTCAACATCCTGAAGTGGCTGGCTCAATAGAACAGTGGAGTGATCTTTAAAGCCTGACTGTAGTTCTACTCTGTGGCAGTGCCTTGAGGAGCTTGGCTGACAATCTCAGAGGTGGCAATGCTGTATCCCAGCCTTAAGTATAAGGAACTATTTCTCCCATAGCAACACCTATGTCTTCAAGAATGAAAGAGGCAAGATTCGGGTCTCCTCTCACTATTACTCCTGGGTATCTAGTAGCCAAATTTTTCTTTTTGTGCTCAAGAAGCAAAGTTTGCTCTCAAGTAACCAACTTTTGGCTCTATTGAACTAGAGGTCTTAGTTACAAATTGAGACATTTTTTCAACAGGGGAACCAAAAATGATTCCATTGAAATGAAAATTGTGTCTGCCAGCTGACCACTTTGAACTCTTCATTCCTTTCAACCAAGAGACAAAGTAGGGGGTCCACTACTGGCTCGGGTGATGAAAACCGAAAAAAAAAAAAAAGAGAGATTAGGTTTCTACTACACTAGGGGCTCAGGAAGAGTAAGTCTGATATGTCTAGTCCTCCCGTGTTTGCAATTAGAGTTAATGGAAAATCACAGCAACCCCATCAAGACAGGATATCTAATGGTTCAGACTCTTCCATAATGAAGGTTTGATGAAGGTTTGAGTCATCCTGCCAGGCCAAGCACCATGACCAAATGACATGCTATCTCAGGGCAAAGGGAATGTGAAATGGGTAGTGAAAGAAGGCAGTTATAAATACCAGCTACAACAATGTGAGCTGCTGCAGAAACCACGACTGTAATAGTGTTTACTTAATGGGTTAATAATATCTACCAGCATAGGTGGGAATACAAAACAACCAAAAAACAAGTTATTCTTTCAAATGAAATGCTTAGGGAAAAAGAACAACTTTTACTAACAGACATTTCTTAGCCTCTGAAAGGCCATTTGATTCAGTAACATATGCCAGGAGACTTCAGCAATATCCTGCTCCACTGTAGAAAACAGCAATCTGATCCTTTTCTCTCCTCAATCATTAATGAGATTATGCATTTGAGTTGTCATAATCCTCCATGGACAAGTACTCCCAAATCATATGCTCCAGTTTCTTCTCAAGGAGCTGAACGAAGTCTCGGCTCATACATCTGAAAAGACAGAGACATGCCATTAACTACAAGATAGCCAAAGAACCTATGCTGTAGGAAGCACTGTGAAGGATAGAAAGATGAAGTAACAGTCAGCATGGAAACAGAAATGTATCTGCACGGTAAGAGGTAGTCTAGTCGGCAATAACAAATGCTGGCGAGGGTGTGGAGAAAAGGGAACCTTCACCCACTGTTGGTGGGAATATAAGTTACTACAACAACTATGAAGAACAGTACGGAGGTTGCTCAAAAAACTAAAAACGAAGCTGTCATATGATCCAGCAATCCCACTGCTGGGTATATGCCCAAGAGAAAGGAAGTCAGTGTACTGAAGAGATATCTGCATTCCCATGTTTGTTGCAGCACCATTCACAGTAGCCAAGATTTGGAAGCAACGTAAGTGTCCACTAACAGATGAATGGATAAAGAAAATATGGTACACATACACCATAGAGTATTCTTCAGACATAAAAAAAGGATGAGATTCAGTCATTTGCAATGACATGGATGGAACCGAAGGTCGTTATGTTAAGTGAAATAAGCCAGGCACAGAAAGACAAACTTCATATGTTCTCACTTATTTCTGGGAGCAAAAATGTAAAACAACTGAACTAATGGAGATAGAGAGTAGAATGATGGTTGCCAGAGGCTGGGAAGGTTAGTGGGGGTGGACGGTGTGGGAAGTGGGGATGATTAATAGGTAGAAAAATAGAATAAATAAGATGTAGTATTTTATAGCCCTATAGGGTGACTATTGTAGGTAATAATTTAATTGTACATTTAAAAATAATGAAGAGTATAATTGGATTGTCTGTAACACAAAGGATAAAAGCTTGAGGTGATAGATACCCCATTTACTTTGATGTGATTATTACACATTGTTGTCTGTATCACAATATCTCATATACCCCAGAAATATATGCATCTGCTATGTACCTACACACATTTTTAAAAAAGAGGTAGTCTAGCAAATACAAAGAGTGTCAATCAAGGGACAATGCGCACCTCAGACTATGGTGAGAATGGAAGTCTCCATAGTCTTCGAAGAATGAGTTAGATTCAGATAACATTAGCCTAAGTAACTGTGGAGACAGCCGTAACTATGAGTGAGGACCAGGGTTTGAGAAATTCAAGGCAGGGGCTGTTCCCCAACGCTCACCCCCAGTACTCTATTGGACCCAAGTGCTTAAAGAAATTGGACAGTTCCTATTTCTACCCACCTTGCTGCTTCCTTGATGATGGATTCAAAAAATAGTTTCTTGACTTCTATAGGTCCTTGCACTCCTTCAAGCAATTTGAAGATTTTTTCGTATTCTGAAGATGTTTAAAAAAAACCTTCAGTATTATCAAATATAAAGAAGAATACAAGAGAATGTATACCTCAGCAATCATGATTCACAGGCTAAAATGTTTTAAATGCTTAAATCAAGATACCTGCACATACAAAAACTAAATAATAAAAAGACACCTGCACATACATACGAATGAAACTCTTTTAACCATAACCAA